GAGAAAGATCAATGCTTTTAATCCTCTTGCCACATTGGAATGTGTACATGGATTAATTGTCAGACCTTGTAAGTGGACACATAGGCAAATGTGGATCTCACTTCGTCTTATTAGACAATCCGACTGTCTACTTCATCAGGAGACATCAAATTTGAAAAAATTGCAAGTCCATGCACTTAATTGTCACTATTTTAGGTTCAGACACCAAAATAGAAAAAAAAAAACGTAAATTCAGGCACAAAAAATAACATTATCCCTTTATTTATTTATTATCTTCAACTATTAGTTTTTCTATTAATTATTCCAATAAATTGTGATAAAATCAATTTGTCCTTCACAGAACTAAGAATTTGCTTCCTATAAAAAAAGGCTAAGAATTTCCTTTTGCATGTTACCACCAAATTAAATTCTAAAAATTTTTTATATTTTAATAACTCTAATCCAAATTCATAAACAAAAACATTAAAATCAACAAATTATTTATATGTTTACCTTAAATTATTAAATAAAATTTTATAAGATAACATTTGGTTTCTTTCGCTCAAGGATGTAAAACGAACCGAACATTTTACCACTGTTATCTTCAATGTAAACGTGTAGTACAAAGCAGCAAAGAAAGAAGATATAAATTTGATTTATTAGCAACTTGCCATAGATATTATTTGTTGTTTTATATATATTTAAAAAAAAAAACCATCAGGTATCAAAATATTTTACAAAAAAAACCATCTGGTATCAAAATTTTATTAACACTTTTACCTGACTAACTTAGATTTGCGCTGGCAACTCATAAAAAGGGGCAAAACACTCCCTCACGAGGAGCAAATAGGGTGGGTTTCGAACACTGCATGAATAATCTAATCCAACAAAATTATGGATTTGGAAACAATGTGGAATGATTTTTCAATTTGAATTTTTAAGTAATTTATATTCTTTAAAAAATGACAACAATAACAACTTTTACATTAAAAAGTTAAATTTAGATCATAACATTAAAAATGACTGTGCTGATTCAAAAATTAATTTTAGATCTAATTTGATCCTAATTGAAAGTTTAGAAGCTAAATTGAGCATTTATTCTGGTTTCCTTCAGAGACAATAGCCTGGCATTGAATTAGAAACCATTCTCAGACAAGAAATTGCTAAATTCTGAAATTTCAATTTCAACAATTCAAATTCTAATCCTAACAAAATTAAAGTTTACAAATCATCCATAAAAGAAAATGAAAGAAAAGAAAGAAAAATCACAGGCTGCTTTTATCGCTGGGAACCAATCACAAGTGATTTGCATTGTCGTTGTGGTATGAGGATGAAAATAACCGTTAACAACAAAATCAAAAACGACAAAATCAAGGAAAAAGACAAACAGATCGATAATTAATCAAAATCACATCTGACAATTTCCATCTGAGTATCAGATCAAATCAAGATCAGAAAAAATCAAAATTGGGTAAACTGGGTTTGATCTTATCTTATGAAGAGAAAGGAACGCTGTTTGGATTGGGTCGGCCGCTTGGCGTTGAAATTGATGAAACAGACGAATTAGAGATTGAATTGCAAAACATAAGCGGCCGATCATGTGCCTCCTCCGCATCTTCGGCATCATCGGCGGTGGAAAGGTTAATACAAGCGCACCGTTCCAGGGAGGCGAAAAACGCCGACACTACGCTCATCCCCACCCATTTGAGCTTCTCGTACGACCAGCAATTTCCCATGGTATTATCCATAGCGCTTCTTCTTGATCGATTCTTTTAATATTATGTGGTTTTTGAAGGAGAAACCAAGAAAATGAAGGATTTTTGTTTCTGGGTTATTGAAATTCAGAGCAAGAGGACAAGGAAAGAAAGTTGGACATGAAAATCAAACGTTAAATATTCCTCAGGGTACCATCTGGTCCAATGTTAATTTATATTTTAATATTAAATTGATAATAATTGTAACAAAATTATGCAATTAACTTGAGTTTATCAATGTTTTGCTTTTGACCAAAAATATAAATGTGCAAAATATGAGTAATTGTTTTATCCAAAAATATAGCAACCATTTCTTTAAAACAAACTAATTTGTTTATTTTACGAATTTTTATTTTTATTTTTTTACAATTATATTTTTGGAAGATCATAATTCTAATTGTTACCCAATAAAACAAAAATTTCGTAATATTATTCAATATTTTTTATTCAGAGTAACTTCTTTATTTTATTTCAAAAAGTAAAAGTAACTATATTAATTAATAATTTTAAGTTTATTCATTGTATTTGTATCTAAAATCTAAATTTGTTAAAACATATTAATACGAAAATATTAAGATAAAATGCTTATCTCTATGGATTTTGATATTGAAAGTGTTTGGTTTGAATGAAATGTATTTTTTTAACTCAATTAAAAAAAAAGTAGTTGACTGTTTGACAAAATTATTTAATAATAACTTTTGAGTAATTGAAGTGTTTGGTTGACACTACTTAAAAAAAACTTAATATAAAAAAAATTGCAGAAAATGTATATTAATTAAGGGGTATATTGGAATGGGATTGTTTTATAATTTAAAAGAATTGTTGATTTTGATGGAATCGAAGAATTTTCTAAGATTTCGTTATATTTTTTTAAAATTGTACATAGAGTTTAATGGAATTGATGATACTTTTTTTAATATATTTTGATTGACTTTAATAGAATTACAATGATTTTTATATAATTAATCAAGTGACATACACGTTAAATACTCGCAATTAGACAAACAAATTCATCATACATTAACTTGTTAAATACTACAAAACTTAACCAACAATCAAACATTTTTACCAAATCAAATCAATGGAAGTTTTTCAATGAAAACATAAAAACTGTTTTGCCAAAAGTAGCTTACATGCTCTCTTTTATAATATTTGAATTTATTGCCTCCATTCTTCGATATTTTGATTTCTTTCATCTTGAGCATCTCTCAACATATCTACAGATATTGTGCCTCTCTATTCATTGGTATTTTTTCATTGTTGATTCTGACTTTCAAATACCTCTTGAAAATTATTCACTTCAAGCTCATCTACCGACAATTTTGCAAATTCATCACTTGGTTCTGTAGGAAACTCGTCAGAACGACTTTCCTTACGAAGAAAATCATGCAATTCTACACAAGCTAATACCAACTCTGCTTGTGTGTTAAATGGAAATGGAGGTGCAGACTTAAAAATTATGAATCTAGATTTAAATACACCAAATATCCTTTTAATTACATTTTTTAAAGAAGAGCGACGAAGATTGAACAACTCAGCTGCATTTTCAAGATGACGACCTTGACTAGAAAAATCTTGCAGATGGTGTAGAACACCTCGAAATGGAGTAAGAAATTATCGACGATTTGGAAATACACAATCTATAAGAAAGTATTTACCTAAATATAATAGATATTAATAATTTATTAGTAATACAATTTTGCCAAAATATGAATAGATATTGAAAATAATAATATATGTATATATCTTGAGGTACTTTAAGTCCATTCCTTCTTGATAAAGCATCATGTAATAATTTTGAATCATGAGCTGAACCCTCCCATCCACTAAGCACATGTATGAACTCCAAATCAAAGTTACAAGCTGCTAGTACATTTTGTGATATCGTTCCATGACGATTGCAATAGCTACTTACATCACGACCCTTTATCTTTAATTGCTGGTATATGTGTGCCATCAATGGCACCTATGCAATCCTAAAACAAAAAAAAAAAGAAAAATTTATAATTGACATGTAATAATAATTATAACATTAATAATAAAAATAAGATGTAATTATTATTAAAACTACTTACTTTAAAATAAGGGTAAAATCTTGTACTTTCTCTTATTTTACTTCGAGTTGTGGATTTTGGTTTAATCATCATATCAGGTGCTATTGTGTTCAAAGCCTTCAAAATCTGTTAAAACTTTTGCTCACCGTAAAACGTGATTAACTAAACGTCTTGCGAGTCATCTAATATCGAGAATTTCGACCTATAATAAGTAAAAATGTTGCAAGCATTTCTTCAATGCAAATAAATCTTGTCTCCTGAAAATGTGTGTTTTCTCTAATAATTTTACATAGCTTTAGAAAAACATTAGGATACATCCTATATAGTTGTCGAAAATCTTAAGGATCTTCTTTCAATACTTTATGTATATAATTATACCCTCTAGCCATGATTGGTCGTCGAACTAATGGATGTTCAATATATTCATCATAAAGGCTACTCCATATGCTAATCATTGATCCATTCAACACATCAAGTAATGCTTAAATTCCATGAAATACTAATTTAATGGTTTCATAAAACTCTTCATCTTCTTGCGTTTTTTTTTTTCTTTCTACTTCTTCTCGTTCCATTTCCTCTGTTATATGATTCATAAAACAAAATTATAAATTAGATGTATTAATATGTAATAAATTGTTGAAAGTTCTAAATTTTTTTTTTTCTTTCTATTTTTTCTTTCTACTTCTTCTCGTTCCATTTCCTCTGTTATATGATTCATAAAACAAAATTATAAATTAGATGTATTAATATGTAATAAATTGTTGAAAGTTCTAAATAATATTTTCATGAAAAACAAAAATAAATTGAAATGAATAAAATTGAGTACATAAGAACATTTAAACCAAACAAAAAAACTAAAATTAAACTTAATTAAAATATTCAATATATAAGAACAGTTAAACCAAAAGCAAAGTTTGAAAGTCAATATAAACATAGGAAAAAAAGTACATCTAAATAAACTACTAACAAAATATAATTAAGTAGTTAATCATGTTGTAGTTTAATTTGACAGTGATTCAATACTAGATATCCATTCAAAACGCTCTCCTGGAGACATCTTCAAGAATGCATCTTTAATTCCCATTTTTTGAATCAGTGCAAGTGCTTTGTAGCGCGCGCCCAAGATTATCCAAATTGGGAGTCTCTTTAATAGCATGCGCCCAAGATTATCCAAATTGGGAGTCTCTTTAATAGCATTCCAAATATCGTTCTTTTACTCTTTTTCACTATTTTCCGATTCCCTTTTCTCCATTAGGTTACGGATTCCTTGAATTTTAGTGGCAATTTTTCCAATTGATTCTAGACCCTGAGAAAGTTTTTCTAGAATATCAACTCAATTAATATTACAATCATACGAGCGAATACTCCCTTTACCTTCAACTCTAGTTTTTTTTTTTTTTTTTTTGAATAATATTTTCTGTGGAAACTTCTAAATAGGGATCAGATTCTGGCACTGGTGATTCATTATGTTCAGATAAAAGTTCTTGATATGATGAATCACTTTGAGTTTCCACATATGCTTCATTATTTTCATCATATACAAGATCTTCTATATTAACATGTGTATTTTCTTCCTAACTATAACTTCTTGCATTAGTATCATCTCCTCCTAATCCAAGAGAGTATTTCCAGTAACAGTTCCATTTCCAACAGCGATTTTCAAATCCTCAAAGTCAAAAAAATTGTCTGTGCGAAGGGATTTCTGATGGATGAGATTGACAAATATAAAATAAAAAATGTATAACATATTAATGCTAAAAAGTATAAAATAACTATACGTTATAATATGAAATATATTTTTTTTTTTAAAAAAAAAACCTTAAAGTAATTCTCCCATGTTTCATCTGAAGCAATGAATCTTTTCGTAGTTTCATCCCATCCAAAACCGGAGTTACATCCTATGAGATCAGCCAAATGTTTGATAACGTCTTTCAAACCGTTTCAAATGGCTTTGATATTGAGTATAGGTTTTATTACACTCAAGTGCTTCATTAAGTTTAGGAAGTATTTTAGTTATGACAATTAGTTTGTTGAACACACCATTACTGTCATGCCATCCACGATTAGCACCATCAACCATTAAATCTAACAACGATTTACTTTCTTAGGAAGTCCATGTGCTATATGCATTTTTACCTTTTTCCTTGTGCATCTCCTATTGTAATTAAGTAATATGTTTAAATAGTAGTGTCAACATATTAGTACATCAAAATAGAATAAAAGGAGCATCATTTAGAGATAGACATATAAAAAAGTTTCAATAACCATGATTAGATAAAGTGGGAACAAAAATAACAATGGCTAGTAATTCTATGACATTAAGTAATGCTGCTACCATAACTTTGCCTGATGATGAAAAGTTACCAGTAGCTTTTGTATGGAGATTCAATAGTGAATATAGGCAACAACAACTATTATCAAAACTACTGCTAAGTAAATTAGAATTAGAATTAAAATTAAAATTAAAATATTTAATAGAACTCTAATAAATTATATTTGAATTTATTATTGTGTGCTAAATGAGCATTTGATTAATATGTGTTTATAAAGTATTCATAATATTATTTACATTAATAAAAATTATAAAATAAATATGAGTTTTCATGCCTTATATGGACGTGACATGCATTATTAGAAAGTTTGATGAGATTTGCTAAACAATTATTAATTTTGCTAAACAATTATTAATCAATTAATTTATAATCAAGTAAAAATTTTAAATGAACATGACATGAATTAATAATGAACCTCAAAGTGCAAAGTTATCTAATAATGAACCTTTCACCGTTCAATTACATATAGGTGTAATTAGAAAATAGAATGTTTTGACACTTGTGCTACATGCATGTCTCCTTATCATCTTATTGCCATATTTAATCACTTACTCTTAGCTCTATAACTTAATATAAAACAGTTAATACTTATCTCTCTTTCAACTCTTCTATATTTTTTCACCATCCTTATATAAACCTGCCTATGCAAAAAGAAAATTTATACTCTGAAAGGAACAAAAGAAAAATTCATGATTTTAATATGCTGGGTTTCTAATTAGCTTTGCCTTTGGAAAATTGAAGGAAAATCTCTAAACCAAACGAACAAAGTTATTACAGAGAAATCAATAAGGAATGAGAGGAAACTTATGTAATTTGTTTAGCAATTACCTAAACAATTTTGGAGATGTTCATTTACAGCAAAAGTTCTTTTAATTTTATCTTTGCATTGAAGTAGAGGATAGAAATCTGTTTCTTGTTGGATATGCATCAGTGATGAGAGATATTTTTATTTATATTTTTTTAATAATTAATGCAACTTTTTTTTTACTGAAGTAATTTTTTTTTTTTTGAAAAAAGCATGTAGTTACAGTGCAAGCAAATAAAGTTATTGTTGTTGTGGTTGCTGCTTGAGACATTTGACGATGACATAGCACCTAATATAATAAGTCAATTAATCGTTTGCATAACAACTCCGCCTTTCAAGAGACAATTTATCAAGGTGTAACAAATAAATATGAAAAAGATAATTAATTGGAATAGATAACAGGACCTTTGATCGACCACTCCGGAAAGATTCATAATTGAGTACAGTCCCAGGTAAGAAAAATTATGCTTGACAATGTTTTTAAATACCCGGACTACAACGAGAAACAAGTGTTAACCAATCATTAGGCAAAACGAAAATTTCCCTCACTCCCCAAAAAAGAAGAAAAGAACATAATCACACAAGACCACATATATAGCAAGAAGAAAAAGTGTCAGTTACATACTAGTTCGCAGCTATTTTTTTTTTTTTTTTTTTTTGTGGGCAATTTTTTTTTTTGAAGCTTGGTTGAAAGAGAGAGTTTGTAGAGAAAGAGTCGATTGGGTGAGATTTGAAATCTTTGAGTTGGAGGTCGTATTTGTAAATGACTTTTCTATTTATACCCAACACTATAAAATCCAATAACATCCAATGAAATTAATAATTTTATAAAAACATTTCAAATCAGCAATTTTTGAATACCATCAAATTTGTATGGACTTTTATAAAGTCATAATTGAATACCATCACATTTTTATGGATTTTATAAGAGTCTAAATTGAATAATACAAAATTTTAATAGACTCCAAATAAATCTAAATTGAATACTATTAAATTTTAAAATCTTTTAAAATCCTAATAGAATCTCAATCCAATACACCATCCTAAAGCTTTTGCTACTGAGGAGAATAGTATATTTTAGTATTTGTAGATAAATAGTGATTAATATACACATGTAAAGAAAACTTATCTGAGTAGGTTTTCTTAACCGGTTATTCTTTTAATATAATTGAATTTATTAGTTTCTTCAAAGAGAAGTAAGCATCTTCTATTTTCCTTTCTAACGTCTCTCTTCCTTTGCCTTATTTAACTTTAAGCAAATTACACTCATCTTATTCTAACCATGCATTAGCAGAAGTTTTTTGCCGTGAATTAGTAGGCAGCATCTCGCACTGATTTTGCTAAAGAGATATGGGTTGCTTGAAACTTTTCTCTACTACAATCCATATGAGTTTTCTTGATGTTTCAATGAAGATAGTTTCGATTTGAAATTTTTATTGGGGTTTTCTTATTTCATAGAAGACTCAAGTATTGTTGGTGATTTTTTGTTTTTAGCTTCAATACTATATGGAATTTCTTGATTTTGAGCTAAAATTGTTTCTGTTCAAAGAATTTCCATCCAAGTTTTGGATTTTTAATTACCATTCAAATGTTTGAGTTAGTCATTCAATTTCCATCTTATTTATTGACTTCTAATTTATTTCAAATAATTTTTAAGAAGGTTCAAAATACCCCAAATTGCCTATTTTTCACCTTTTTTTTGACAAAATTCTCATCACCATGGCTTAAAAATGCATAATGCCCATCTTCTTGCTTAGTCATTGCGCGTGACATTCAAATATACCAAAAAGAGAGTGAATATATTTGAATACTTTATTAATCCCTTTTGGCCCATCGATGCAATTTGCTACTATTTAACAACTTAATTCGAGGTTCTTAAATAACTTTAGCTATTATTTCCTTAAAAAAAAAAGAAAAAAAAAAAAACACTTTACTACTCTTCATTATGGCATTGCTCAAATTTTTAAACTCTTCATTATGCCATTGCTCAAAATTTTTAAACCCACCATTCTTAACAACTTTACTTCTTACATTACCCAAAGCATATGCAACAAATTTGCATTGGTGAAGATGGGTTTGGTCTCTTTACTGATATAAATTATCGTAAACTCGGAGAGGAGCACGTGCGTGAAAGCTTTAGACATTTTTTATTTTGTGATTGGCAACAAGGAAGGGAAGGGTGGAGAGAAATGAGCTCTGTAAATCAAGCAGCAAAATAGAGGAGACAGGTAGTTATTTTTAGAAAAATAATGGTGAGATTGGGTTAAAACATAGGAACTGTAGAGTTAAGATGGTGGGTGCCAAAATGAGTATTACTAATCAATTGTGAATTAGTTTCCACTTCTTTAACAAAAGCTGAAATAAAACTAGAAGGTATTTTCATGGTTTGTAAAAAAGGCTAGATTGAGTTATTCAATGATCGAAAGAAGAAACAGGGATAAAGAAGGAGAAGATAATGGAGGAGAAGAGACATATTTGATATGGGTAGTCTTTTGAAGGTGAAGAGTGCTGGAAATTAAAACTTTGTTTGGGAGAGAGGATGTCACGGGAGGATGGAAAATAGCAAGAGAAAGTTACTTTCACCTATTTGGGAAAGCTATGAAAAATATCAGTGGAAGGAAAATAAGTTGTATTTTTCACCTGGGCCCACTTAAAGGTTATATCCCCGAATTGGAGAGAAAATCAACTATTTTGCAGTGAAATTTCCACTATACAATGAAATTACAATAATATCATAACTTGATTACTGTAGATCCTTTACCAAATTCAATTGATTACTGTAGATTCTTTTCCAAATTCAATTTATAACTGCAGATTATTTCTAATAAACCAAAAGAGTCACTCAATAAATAAAAACCAAAATCTCCTTTCACCTTCACCCATTATTCCTTTCCCTCTTCTTTTCCAAATTCAATTTATAACTACAGATTATTTTCAATAAATCAAAAGAGCCACAACATAAACAAAAAAAATAATAATAATAAAAATCTCCTTTCACCTTCACCCATTGTTCCTTTTCCTCTATAAATAACAACAAACAAACAAACAAACAAAATATTATTACAAAAAACTTGCAAATTGATATGGATCAAGGGAGAAGATAAAGGATCCTCTAGCTCTACCTGCCGGGCCAATCACAAGAGCTCGTGCAACCAAGTTACGAGTAGCCTTAAATGCATTTGTTCAAGAACAAATCACAATGGAGCTTCAAGATCATCTGAAGAATCACCAAAAGTTTGGTTAATGGTGCTTGAGCAACAAAAGCCCCATTGAATGCATTTACATCTCTATACGTAGCAAATAGGAGGATTATTTTTATGAGCTTAAGTATGGTGTAATGTGCCTCTGCCCATTTGTCCTTTGTTAAATTCTTCTAACTGGACTAATTATAAGAAACTGGTTGAACTATTCCAGAGCCCATTTGGGCCATATTAGGTTTAGGCCTAGACTAGCTTAAGTTAATAGCTAAATTAGGTTTAGCTTAGGGTATTTATATTATTTTGTAAGAGCTGCCGGAAGCCAACATTAAGATTAATCAAACTAAACGTTTTTTTTTTCTTGTTCTTTCAAACAACAGATCGTGTTCTTCATCATTGTATGAATGCAACCAAATTAACCTTAGTAATTAAGATTGTGAGTTCTACAAGATTAATTGCACCTTTCAGAATTATTTTCAAGAGTACTTGAAGGTAAGTTTCTGTTTCTTGTCTAAATTCCTTTCTTTCTCTCTTCAAGAGTACGTGGGGGTTTCAGGGATTGACGGATACTTTCGTGATTGCATGCTTTCCGCTAGATTCTCCTTGTTAATTTGCAAGAGTACTTGTTAATTAGCTAGAATCGCATTATCTTGTATTAGAGCCTATGGTTATGGATTTCAATCTATCTTAGGGCTAGAGCAGTTTAAAAAAAAAAAAATTATGTTAGTTACAGTGCAAATTAGAC